TTTTGCGGCATCAGAAATTCAGTGGAAGATCCTATACCGAAGTGCATCTTGGTGGGGAGGTTTCTACAAAAGATTAGTACACTCTGTGAAGAGCAGTCTGAGGAAAATGCTTGGTCGGAGACTTGTGAGTTTCGCGGAGATAAGCATGCTTTTAACGGAAGTAGAGGGTGTGCTAAGTTCACGACCTTTAACATTTGCTTACAGTGCTGTTGAGAAACCCTACCCACTTCATCCACCTAATTTTCTAGTGGGGCGAAGAATTACATCTTTACCACCTTACGAAATGCTAAAGGGTGATAAAAGCGATGACCAACTCAACCGCCTCTTCCAGAAGCGAGAAGACTTGCAAACCTTTCGGAAAAACGTTGACAGATGGGATATCTGGACGAACTGAGAAACTTTGCTGTCAACGAAGTGAAATGCACTTTATTGTTGAACGAATGAAACTTAGTTCTTATCGGAGACAAACAACGACATCGGCAAGTTTGGGTAATGGCAAGAATAGGATACTTGCGTCACGAATGCGATGGGAATGTTCGCTCCTGTTCCCTCGAGTTACTGGGCGAAGCAAAAGCCCACCATTCTGTTCAAACACCCTACCTACTGGAAGTAGAATCACTCCAACTGTTGGGCCCGGGAGGATGTTGTAACTTCGTATTCATCAACGAAGCAAGCACCTTTCATCATCATCACGATGCTCCTCTCCAGCTGCCACTCACTCGAGGGCGTGAAGCCATCGCTTTTTTTCTATTCATTGTTCCATTAAGTAGCATTCCTTTCGGGCGGGTTGTTTCTCGTTCCTACACGACAGCCAAGTAGCCGACGGACCTCGAGGTTTACTACACATAGCATGATATATAAAAAAAAAACTATATTTGTTTAACAGCTCTCTCGTGTGACTCATGTAAATTATTAATATATCAGTGTTAATATGTTTCCCAATCTTGCCAACATACCCTTGAGCTGCACTTTCCTGTGAGCGGCTCAGTTCTTCGCTCTGAGCTGTACCTCTGCACATATTCTCCCTTCTGTGAAGAAATACGTTTTATCGTCGTCATTTTCAGCCAGGGGCGGGGCACACTTTTGTGGAAAGCAATTCATCGAGCAACCTCACCTCGGTCGGCTCGTTTCTTGAAGGTGTAGAAAGCTATGGCCGGAACCGTGGAGATAGTGACCGAGGCTGATGCAGGGCAGGTAGTGGTAAGCTGCGTACCCACACAGGCCAGTCGCTGAAATTTGGCCGTTAGGCATGCTACTCTGCAGTCAAGTTGGTTAGCCATTTTGTAAATAGACGCTTTTCATAATGAATTGGCAATGACACTTCACCCATCTCTCTGCACCACTCCTTTCTGTCCCCACCTTTTCCTAAGTCTCTCAATTTTCGGGAGCCCAAATTTGACAGCTGACTCTGAAAAGGTCAAGGCGTGTAGAAAACAGCTGAGCTGATTATTCTGCACTTGAATACCTAATTTAGCCGTGAACTTCAACACGCACAAAAAAGGGAGGAACACCGTTGCAGGACATTTCCAGCTGAATTGTCGTGGGCGTACAATTTTTTTCGATACATACAGTACAGCAAAAATATCGATGGTACAACTTCTTTTCTTTTCTATATGGCGGCACTTACATCAACTCAAGCACAGTCTGACAGTGGCTCCTGCCTAAAATCTTTCTCTCATTAAAGATTGGTTAAGCCTTGCACGTTTTACAGTGAAATAGCGATTGCGCCAAGCCATCTCTCGTAACATTTAGTTCGTGTTACCTGGCTCATTGATTTACAAACTTTGAATTTCAACTAGGCCGACAAGGTCTTGCCTAAAGGGGTACACACCTCGACCTTGCTTATCCAGACTTAAAGCCGAAACACAGAGCACTTAAAGTAATTATTGTGACTAAAACTACTGCAGCCCGCTAGATGCTGCCGCAACCATAGATAAATAACACCTCTGAGCAGCTTTACAAGTGTTTCGTCTCTAGCTGCTGTTCGGTCGATTGCCTTATGTTAGTTCCTTAATACTACTGCGTTTTCCTCATAAAGGTACTGGTCGGTTGGTGAATTTCAAAACTTACGATGAAACGCATTTTTAAGGCGACAAGCTATTGCACAATTGCTTCACGCGATGGTCTCCTGATAACATTTGGAGCTTTAGGTGTCAATAACAAAATAATAGGCACGCTGTAGTTAGGGATTCCATACACTTGGACCACCTAAAAGCAAGCGCGTAGCCATAAATGTTTGTAGGGGAGGGCACCCTCTCTTAGTTGCCATTTTTTGCTCTTTATGGCGAAAAAACTTTCGAAAAGGGAAGGGGGCGTGAGCTCGGTGTGGCACCCCCAGGCTAAGCACCTGCTTGGTGGTCTTTAATGCATGCGAACATCGTACAGCACACGGGCCTCCAGCACTTCACCTCTATCGAAATGCGATCGCCGCGGCTGGGCTTGAAACCGCGACCTTAGAGCAAACAGCGAGCGTCGTGACGGCTACGCCTGGGACGTGATCTCGCGAAAAAGACAGCTGAAGAAAAACGATGCAACGCAAGGCTCTAATGATAAAAACACAGCAATCACACCCTAGAAGTGTAAAACAAACATCATAGAAAAGCAATTATACTACCAGTAGCACAATGCACACTTAACTGTCTGACACCTTTTCTTGAAGATGGTCGCTGTTATGCCAACACGCCTCCCGCGTTGCCTTACTTGCGCAAATGTCGGCACGTTTGACGACTTCCTTCAACTCACCGTCGGATCTGCTGCGACGCACGCTTGTGCTAAACTATTGGCGTTGTCGTCAGACAAGGCACTTGGCTGTAGACTGTCCCCGTGGGTGCATTCGATTTATTCACGCAATCAATGTGCGCAATGAAGAAACGCGCTAAGCACGCCGATCACGCAGCGCTAAGCGCGCAGACAAAGCTACTAGTCTGTTGAAGATATGGCACACCAAGGAACACCAACAAAACACACCACCTTTGCCCATCCGCTCTGTGTAGCAAGTGATAGGTATCCAGTCGAAAACTAACAACGAATACGACCACACTTCATAACAATAAAAACCGCAAACACACAAGAGTAAGATGACGTTATGGCAGCAACACCGCTGTTTGTTCAGAAAATTTTTTTTCGGGCTGAATCAGTTCCCGCACTCGTCTGGTGGTTTTTGTTTTAAGGTATTGGCTCACACACAGGGCGTGATTTGAGCATAGTCGCATTTTACTCACGACAACAACTAAGAGCAATTATAATTTCACGAAATATCAACAAACAGTAGTTATTCAGGTATAAAGCGAGTTCATGTGAATTTCTCATATTGAAATAATTTTTTAGATGTAGTTACACAGAAGCAGAATCAAGTGATTGGCTCAAGGGCGGTGACGCGGTGATTTAAGCCAAGTTGCCGAGTGCACTATGCTCCTCGTGTTTTCTGTTCTCACTCTTCCTGCTTTCTTCTGCCTGCTTTTTTGCAAGATTGTTGACATTTCCGGCTATCCTGTGCGACGCTTCGACAAGCTGTATTTCAACGACTGTGATGACGGTCACCGCTCTGCCCTTGCTACCTTACTCAGCCTCCTTCATGACGTGGGCTGAGACTAGTGGTTTTAAAACATCGCAGGAACGCAAGCGCATACGCTCACAAAACATATTTTATGGAGAAAACATGAATATCGATAGCAAAGAACGAGAAGCATATCACTGTGGACGCGAAGGGTCGATAGCTAACTCTCTTGAGCACCCAGTTCTTTTATTATTGCGTCGTAGCGTGAGGAACAGGTTTCATGTAGGCTAATTGAAGAAGAGAGAACAACGAAGGACATTTACAAAAAAATACGTAGTTGCAATGGCCGTTGGGTGAGATTGCGAGGAAGTGGGGTAGGCCTGGAGATTATGAGCGTGGATCAACAGAAGTGCGCACTTACGAACACAACATGTGTTTCATTGGGTGGTATTTCTAAGCACATCGATTTCTTTTATACTTTTGTAGGACATACCTTCAGCTAGATGTTCGAAGTCAGGTCGATGATGTTCATGAAAATCTTGGTGTCGACGCATTCAACGTTCTTAAAAGAGGGCACGGAAGATTGCGAAAGATTGTCCCTTGTCACTGATAAACATGGAAGAAAAAAAGGTAAGAAGACAGGAACGATCTAAAACATAAGAAGAAAAACGAAGACGTGGATTGACAAAGAGCGACGAAAAGACAACCACTGACTTCCCGTTGTTGGTTCAGCCAAGTGGAATCATGAACGGAAAAGCCGAGGGCACAGGTGTGTATAGCCCCTGCCGGGCAGCCTTCAATGTCGATGGACTTGGCACTGGCCGAACCTTAAAGATTTCATTTTGAACGGACATACCAAACCAACAATGCTCAGTCGTGGAAGGAGTTTGGAACCGTCTCAAAGCGTAGGCTTCAATGTGACGCCACTCGCCTCCTCTCAAGAGGGTCTGGTTGCGCAGACGCCCCTGCGGTGAGGAAGGAAGTTCCCAAATACGTAATAAAAAAAATCGGTTCTCTGGCTATGCGAATGCAGCCGAGTGAAGTGTGTGACGCCTGTCTGCGAGGACGGCTCATACGCGGAGGTCAGCTACGCCACCCGAAAAGCGCTTGAGTAGCTCTTGAAGGCGACCTGGCTACAGCAAAAGAAAATATTTTGACAGCTTCGGCAAGGTCACCCACATTTCCACGGACCTTAGTTTTACATAGTTCAGCAAAACTAGATGCGTGCACACCTTCCTGTTTTTACCATATTGTCTGCCTTTGTGCCATGTACCACACGCATGTTGCTTTACACAGCTCAACAGCCGTGTATTGTGTTAAGCGATGCCATGCTCTGTTCTGAAGGCGCGAGGTGGTAGCCTGACTTGGTGTAGCATTACACTTCGCGGATGTCGCATTGAACTCTTGGCCTTCCTGACAGGCCAAATGTAATTTTCTTTTTTTTTCAGCGATGCTGGCTCTGGTGGCGTTATCTTCAGCTCCTATGAACATATTTCTTCCTTACCTGATCTGCGAACATAGCACCGATAGTAGTACCACCTACGCAGCCGTTCTTGCGATGTTTGCTGTTGGAGGTAAGTCATCATTTATGTAGCAGTCGCCAGTTGCTCTTTTCTGTCTCCCGTATATGTGTACAGTATCTTTCACCATAATCGTTCTTTACTTGTGTTTCCCGTGAAACCTGAAAAAAGTTGCAACATATCTTCCTAAAGGAAACTATTTGTGAATGTCAAGCAGTGGGGAGATGGCTCGCTTTAGTGGGAGTTGCTGTAGATTATTACAAAGATGAATGAGAAAAAGATTGAAAGATCTCACGTACAGTGCGAATAGATGATATGCGAAGCACAAATGAAGAACGTTGATATGTCACTTTAAATTCAGCACAACAATATGAGGTGGAGGTAAAAGATGGCACACATGACTTCCATGTCAAGGTTATCATGTTTGAACGTCTTATTTACTTTTTTCGTATATTGACGTCACCTGATACAAAATTTGCTATATGTATGTAGCTAGCGAAGCACCCGCGAATGTGCTATGGGCATTGCGTGTAGTCAAGTTTTACATGACATGCATGTAATAATTGTCATGTTTGGACGAATCATTTACATTTGTCGTTCATTGGTATCACGTGATACCAAAGTTGGTATATGTGGAGCTAGCAAAACGGCCATAAGCGCATCATGAGCGTGGCGTGTAGCGAAGTTGTTACAAGACAGGCATCTCATAATTATTATGTTCTACCAGTGACACACCTCTGTTGTTCATTCACGCCCCGTAATACCAACTGTGGTATATGTGAAGCTAGCAAAATGACGGTTAGCATATTATGAAGGGCCCAATATTCACAACTTCCAGTACCGTGGCGTCGCTTAGCGGTGGCGGGCGTAAGCTCTGTTGAGTTGAATAAAGTCTTGAACCTCCTTCCAACAGCAGACGCTGCTCCTTGTTTTCACGCATTTGTAGTCGTTTTTAAACGCTGTGAAGGGTCTCGACATTACCGTTAATCTTTGAGTTTCTCGAGTTAGAGGGATAGTAGGAAGAAAAAAAACTGACTGATTTCACTGAGAGCCTTTATGCCCCGGAGAAAAGTCAGGCGTCCGTTCTAACTAGCACGCTAAAATACCATCAGTGGTTAAGAAGGTTAACTTTAGCAAGCAAATAACCAAGGCCAGTGAATGTATGCAGCACCCATTTTCTGCAAGAGTATACAGCAACTTCAAGATTTGCAATTCTCGCACTTAGTTCGTCTGCTCGATATGATGCGATTTCGCGTATAATACCTTCTTAATATGCTACTCGGCATTTATTTACTTAATATAGTGTGTTAGCGCTCCCTCACTTTCTCAAAAGCATAGATTCGAGGACCGCCGAAGCACGAAGAATTGTAGTCTTCGCCAAAAATTTACTTTCTGGTATCGTCGCTTGCGGGGCGATTATTTCAACGACCATGTTGAATGTATAGTCGCGCCGCCAATAGGTAGTGAAAGTTGCGAATACTCCTATGTAACGTTGAGGCATACGCACGCTATGTATGCGCCCAATTCTATGGCCCTCCCAACCTCTGCCAGGGGGCGCTGCGCCGCACGCGTTTCGCCACCTTTCTGGCAAAAACCGGTCGCTCGGTACCGCGCTCAGCTTTCTGCCTGCCCTATCTCCGCACGTTCACCCGCTTTGCACGCGATGTTATCCGGTGGCCCTCCGCGTGCAGCGTCACTTGTGACCTGCTCTGAAGGTTTAAAATATTGTAAAAAACGTTTTCACGATGAGAATCTTATCATAACTGAGAGTGATTCATTGACAACCTTTGCGGGACCAAGCAAGTCAAACACGATGTCTTGGGCGAGTGCTATGTGAATGTCAATCGTCAGCAGCTGCTTTTCTGAAAGTGAGGAAATGGCGCGAATTCTACATGTATGCTACCGAAAAATGCACATTTACTGCGGCATTCGTGTTTTGTCAACACTGTCGGCAAACTACCATTATGCTTTCGTGTGCATTTGTATATAGCGTTCAGATTTCTATTGCTTGAATGTCAAGTTTGTCACGCCGCTTTCAACTTAGTTGGAGGTCAGTGTGAAGAGAGTGAATTTACGTCTGCCCTGTTGAGCCCCTGGCACCATTTTATTGCAGTGTACGTAAGTCAGGTACGTATTATCTGACTGAAAGAAACGTGAAAAGCGTTGACTGCGGCGTGCCTTGACTGTTACAAGGCAGAATTTGTGCTCTAAGCCGGCGTCGACGTAGCGCTAGAAGCTGGCTCCAACTTATGCTTATGCACTACATGTGTATCGATTGCCAGTCCTTCCGGCCACTCGGAACAAACACGCAGTACAAAAGCGCCAGCCAGAACAAGATTTTAAAATGCTACCGTGACGCAAGACGACAGCACATGTATATTCGCCTAGTGACAGTCAAGGCATGAAGCAGTTCGACCAAGTCGAAAGCCATGCTTCCCGTGCCGTTCACATCTCTTTTCATTGCTATATTAGGCCATTACTGTAGTACTAAACATGCGCGACGCGTGCATCCATGCATGAGTCGTAATACGCATTACCTATTATTCACATGCGGCCAGCGAAAGAATACGGCAATAGTTTTGTGCCGCATACTACAGGCATATGTACTGCACGCAAATCGCTGCTGTAAAGTGGAACAGCTAGCGTCGTGCTTGAATAAACGCAAGAAATATATTTACTCGTACAATTCACTGGGCTCGTAGTTTTTCCTGCTGATTTTGATTATACCCTATAGGGCGGCCGAGCTCTACTTTTTTCGTTGTGGAGAGAAATCTGTGCGATTGGAAAGCACCGCACCATAACGATTCCCGCGATGCGCACTGAACTTCAAAGGCAGTGCTCAGCAATCTCTTCCTTTTGCGCTGGTTGTTGTCGCTTATACATTTTAAGACACCCTTATGACATTTTATAAGCGGGCGCAGCGTGAACAGGTGCTTTTTCGCAATTTAAACTCCCAGAGCCACTGCATGCCATGCTGGCGAGGCGCGCCCTGGCAGTTGCAAACAAATAGTGGCGTCTCTCGGAGCGAGGGTATACAGCCGAAGGCACCTGGGTGCGAGGTAAGCATGTCCTCGTCGTTAGGCGAGCACTCTATAGTCTGACACCAGGTACAACCGGCGTGACGAGCGTCCATCGGCGTGGCCCTGTGGCAACCGGCGCGACATTTCGCGCCGACGATGTCGCCGACGACGAAATTTCGCGCCGACGACGTTATCCGCACAGTACGACGTCTGCCTCACTTCGCAACGGATGAATTCTGGGCGTGCTCAAACGCGCATGCATCAAAGCAACGCAGCGCGGTGGTGCATGCGAGCATTTGGCACGCAGATCAGCGCCTGACGTGGCAGCTCCACCATAGCGAGACAAAACGAACGGTGGCGTGCACACGTGACGGTTCACGTTGAAGAGTGTTGGCGCCATGAATGTAACATGCATTCTTGATCTTACATGACACGCATCTCATGATTATTATGTTTGCACCAGTCACATACTTCGTCATCCGTTGACGTCACGTGTTACCAAATTTGGCATACGTGACGCCCGCGAAACGGCTGCAATAGCAGCATGAGTGCGGCATGTAGTCATGTTGTTAGAAGATGCGCACGTAATGATTATTGTGTTTGGACGTGTTATTTACTTATGTCGTCTGTTCGCGTCACATCATAGCAAATATAGTACATGCTAAGCTAGCGAAACGGCCACAAGTGCATCATGAGCAAGGCAAGTACTCATGTCGTTTCATGACACGTATATCATGATTATCACGTTTGCACAAGTCATATATCTTCACCATTCATTATCTCCCGTAGTACCAAACTTGGTATATGCGCAGCTCATGAAGCGACCGTGAGGGAATTATGAGCGTGGCATGTCATGTAACCGTCTGATGAAAATCATCAGAACCTAACACACCTGATGATAATATTCATGTCTGATGGTTATGGTATTACCTACTATATCAGTTTTGCAACATGTCATCTGAACGAAATCACCGCAAGGTCAGCAAGACTAAGAAACGTAAATGCTGGCATTCGTGAGACACTTGTCACGATTTTATTGTTGTGACTGGCCAATTATGCTCGCCTTACAGTCATGTTACGTCATACCAATTTTGGTATAGATCCCATGATCAAAACGGCCAGGAGAGCTAAAAGTCAAAGGTGGCTAGATAGATAGATAGATAGATAGATAGATAGATAGATAGATAGATAGATAGATAGATAGATAGATAGATAGATAGATAGATAGATAGATAGATAGATAGATAGATAGATAGATAGATAGATATGCTCAATGTCACAGAAGTTCGCTAAAAATCTTTCGCGTTTAATATATAGGAGAAAAGAGAGAGGCATCCTGTACGTTGTGGTACGGCGCCTCTACGAAGCCTTACTCAGGAATCATAGTTTGACGTACACATTGAACACCAAATCATCGGGGACATGTCAGGGGAAGCATGGCTCGAGCTTCTGCTTCGATGCGCTCGTTCGTGACTTAGCCCTTGATCTTGTAATGCCCTTTGTCGTGCTTGATGGGTCAAATGCTTTTGAATGACAGACGCGGTGCGATGAGCAAATGTTCGACCGAATTGAAGTCGGGCGTTTTTTGAACTCGCGTTTTACCATCTAGCGGCAGCCGTTGGTCACACTCTTCACGGGCACTTTGGTCTTGGCGCAGCATTCCAACTACCTCATTCCACTGTGGTGCGTTCAGCATGCCGCCGACCCTGATCATGAGTTTATCAAGCCAAAGGCAGTCGCACACGCTGCAGCTGTAGCTGAAGCTCCGGTCGAGGAAATCGCGCATAAAGCATGCGTTCGTAGTATCAGTTTCGCGCTGCAGCAGTTGATTGAAGCGTTTGATAATCATGGTGCTTATATGTGGGGTTTCACGTCCCGAAACCACCATATCATCATGACAGATGCCGTAGTGGAGGGCTTCAGAAATTTTGACCACCTGCGGTTCTTTAACGTGCACCCAAATCTGAGCACACGGGCCTACAACATTTCCGCCTCCATCGGAAATGCAGCCGCCGCCGCCAAGATTAGGCCCTGCGACCTGTGGGTATGCAGCTGAGCACCTTAGCCACTAGACCACCATGGTGTGGCGCTTCAAGCGTTTCGTTGCCTCGGTCGCCAACTCACGTTGCTCCGTCGCTTCGGAATCACTGCTCGACGTTAGCGTTTTATTTTGGTTTCCCGTTGCCGCGCCACCTCGAGATTCTAGAGGAGAGAGAGGGGGAAACATATGACAGCAGAGATTGAGAGAAGACGCGTATGCGCATGGGGGTTGTAAACGCTACAGGAGGTTGGAAAAAGCCCTCTCCTCAAGCTCCTTCACATCTAACAGACCTCTTACTCTCCTGGTCAGTGAAATTTTATTCGGTTTTTATTTGTTTGTACGACCCATTTTCAAACATTTTGTTACGGTGAGATGCCTTTATTTACAGGAGATGAAGAATGCGAGAGTACAGGGATCTGGCCGATCACCGCTCGTGCCAACCTCGTTCTCCTATTCTTCCACGCGCTCCCTCAGTATCGTAGCAATTCCCACTTTGCAGACGAAGCCCACCGGGCGAGTTAGGCTTCGTTGCGATGATGATAGCGTTTTAGACGGGCAACATGAACGACGTTTGTCTTGCTTGAGCGGCGGCCAGTTGACAACAGCTGACATATCACGTACGTGACATCGCTGAGACGTTCCAGGACAACAAACGGTCCGGTGTAGTTGGCCAGAAACTTTTAGAAGAGGCCGCGCTTGCGAAGCGGCGTCCAAAGCCACACCAGATCCCCTTTCTCAAACCATACGTGCCGGTTACTTCTGTCGCAACGGTTCTTGGAGCGTTTCTTTGAGACAAAAGTTCGAAAACAGGCGATGCGCCGGGTTTCTTCTGCGCGGCAAATGGTGTCGGCGAGAGTAGGTTGATC